ATTTACCATCTAATAAGGGACAGGTTTTAGAGGAAACACAAATTAAACCAAATTTGTCAGCTTCCTGCAACTTTGTGCATCACAACAGTATCCTCACAGTAGTTCTTGTTTTCTTTTTAATGTTTACAGCACATCAGAACTTCTAGAACTCTGACAAAAATAATAGTTAAAATTCTGCTACTGACTAGATTTTTACTTTAACTACTTTGTCCAGGACAGAAATGGCAGCTTTGCACTAGAAGCTGAATGTGCACATGCAATGAAGCAGAAAGCCTGAGTCCTCTTGGTACTCTTAATATACAAACTTGTAACTACCCATCTTTTCTGACTCCAAATGAAAGCAATTAGCAAAAAAGTCTTTACAGTAATGAGCTGTTATTATAGACGAGAGACAGCACACCTAAATTGTAAAAAAACACTGCAGAACACATTTCACAAATATAAGTAAACCAGGGATTGAACAATTATGTGAGGTTCAGTTTGAACAAAGCCTATAAAGATTCCCTGCAGGAAGCAGGAAACTCACATTTTTAGCTTATCTTCTGTCCTCCTTCTTTAACTGTCAACACATTAAAAACATGCAGTTTAACAACCATGCTGAACACTTAATTATAATACTGTTACAACCAAACACTCTATTGACTACAGTTTGAGGCAAATTATGCTGCATACTTGCACCACAATATATTGCAACCAAGAGGTGAAACAGAAAGCAGTGACTATGCCACCTAATGTTGTATCTTTACCTGCCACTGCACATATTAAAATCAGTAATGCCAAGCAGACTATCATCTGTAGGGCATACTGTGGCAGTGACAGGGCACTACATATACAAACTGCTTTCTGTACTATCTGCAGTGCACCACAACAGAAATATGCATGCAGTGCTTATAGGAAAAAGTCAAGACAGACCTTGCCATCAGCCTCAGCAGAAGCAGCAGTAACAGTCTCCTGGGAAGCAGGAGTCAATGCACCTGGAGCTTTAGTAGACTAAGGAAGGTAAAATTGCAGGAAGAAGGGGGGAAAAAAAAAAATTTCAACTGAAGACCACCAAATCTACCTAGCAAATGTCATACACTTTTACCTCTAACTAACATCTTTAAAAATCCAGAAAAGAAATTTTCTAAATTTGCAAGCAAACAGTAATATAAGCAGAAAGAAACGGAAAAAAAAAAAAAAGCATCTCCAAGACAGTTAAGAGACTTTTGGCTTATCCGGCCTTCAATTTCACTTCAGCTCCTATACTGATGATACAAATATGAAGTCAATAAAAAGAAGGATCAAAGGGCACTGAAAGCAATCTCTAGATAGCTACCTTAAATTCATCCATCAGCTGGCTTCTACTGCTTAAAGGCAGTAATGTTAGATCCATTCTGGGACTTTATTTCACTTTTTAAGCTAACAAACGTAATCAACCAATTTCTGTCAGCTGTAGTAACTCCTGTTACAACCTGTGAGGAGCTTAAATTATATTCTGCGTATTTGGATTCTAAATATTTCACACAATATTAAATACCTAATTGTCAAAAATTCTGGCTGATTGTCAAGCCATTAATTTCTACAGCCAGGCAATGTTTTCCATGACACTTGGTTCTTCCACCATATACTTACTTGTCATTGAACTAATCCATAAGCCTGGTAAAACTAAGCAAGCTCCAGAGACAGAATACATGACTGGATTAGGATGAGCAACTGAAAACATCACCTCCACCAACTTCTCCCAAAGAAAGCAAGACTGCAGTAAACTGCAGTTTTAAGAGTGACTTAAAAAAAAAAACCAACCACCAAGTCACTATGTTGGCACAATGAATATTTTAAATCACTGGTTTATCTTTTGAAATCAGTGTGTCTCAGTCATCAGTTTATGCATGCAAATTCTGACTCTGTCTTTAACATCTGCAGGCATTTTAAGCCTTACCTCAGATGACATTAAATTGATAAGTGTAATATTAATGTAAATTTATAGGCAAGTCTTCAGAAAAATCAGACAAAAGTTGCATCTTTGGAAGAAGAAGAAAATAACATTCAACTTCCCTTTTACGAAGTTGAAAGAAAAAAGTCAATACCTGGAAGCTCCCAAGACTGTTACCAGGGCAGCATATCAAAGTTTCCAATACTTACATTGGATCAAAGAATGCACTTGAAATGAATAAACTTCAAACTTCAAATGAATAAAGATCAACATTTACTTACCTTCTCTCGTGGCACAGCAGAAGGCAATTCCCGGGCTAACCTGTTACGCCTTTGTTCCTTTAAAAACAATCCGGCAAGACCTCAATTATGTATTATTCTGTATCAACACACATGCAAGATTCATATTTTACAGATGACTTACATTTTAGAGACAAACACTAGTAATTTCATCTCATCCAGCGTTATGTAGTCATACTATGATTTTATGAAAAACTCAATTATTTGCATAAAACTACCTGGTCAAAAGTAAATTCTCAATATAAAAATGTTTGCAAAACTTTTTGCAACACACTCCAAAATCAAAACTAGAGCCTTTAAAAAACAAGATCAACAGTTTGGCTCAGCATAGATACCCTACAGCCCTCATTAAGCTTTAAATCTTCAAAGTAATCCAAAAGGATTTGATTCTGTGGCCAGCAGGGTTACCTATGATTAGCCCAAAGGGAAGAAGAAGGAGGCAGAATTCACTTTATGGCAAAACAGAATTTGAAGCAATCAGGACAAAGATCGATAGATAGATCGATCTGATTTTTCTTGAAATTAAGAACTGACTGTCCAGTGAATAAGGATAAAATGTTTTACGTGCTCTGTTTCTTCAAAAATGTCAAGGTCCTGTTCAGGAAAATGTTGGGAAAGAACTTGTTTAAGTAACACATGATAATACAATAATCTCTGATGTTCAACTTCACAAAGTCCTAATTTTTGTACTCACAGCAGTTTGCACACACATTGTTTCTGAACTAGATTCAAGAGCAGTCTACCAAGGCAAATTCAATCGCATACCCAGTCAATACAAAATTTATGTATAGGAGAAAGTAAAAACCTAGAACTAAAGAGCAGAAATTATAAGCATTTAAAAAAAGAACAGTACTAGGAAAGAATGTGTTGGATAAGCACAGGAACACAAGAATATTAGTGATGGCTCTCTTAGCCTGATGGCTGAAGTACTGCAACAAAATCAGATTGCAAGAAAGAACTGAGCAGTTGTAGAACAACTGCTTTTATAGGATGATGACAGCAACAAGTATTACCAAAGCTGGGCTTGAAAAACAGAAAGACTACTGAAATTGTAAAAGGCTTATGGGAGATTGATGGAGAAAATTGTCTTAGAGAGACTGAAGTGTGGTAACACAGAGATTCCAGAAAAATGACGAAAGGGAGCAGAACAGAATTAGAACCCGGACAGAGGAAACAGTATTTGTGTTATGATTTCATGAATGAGAGGAACATTGTAGCTATTGATACGTTCTGTCAGAGACAAAATGCAGTTACTTCAATATTAAAGAGTATTTCACAACTATCTATTTAAAGTCTCTCTTCCAAAAATTTCATTTAATAGCCAATACTCGATTGGGTTCCCATCTTATTTTCCAGAGAGAAATACAGGCAGAATTGTTTTCAGTGAAATATCAACCACTGTTCCTGAATGTAATACTCAATATAAATCTAACAAATCAACAGATCACAAGATAAGAGTATACACCATATTTGTTATGTATCACATTTTTATACTTCAAAACGTAGAACTGTGCTTCAATGAAAGAAACTGAAGCATTTGTTCTTTTACCAATTATTTAGGCTCTCATTTAAAGCTGTCAAAAGACTTTGTAAGAGAATGCATTTTCTTACCTCTATGTTGTTATTCATTAAACCACAGGCATCAGCAAAGTCTGGATGTTTGGTATTGATATAAGCTAACTCAATGGCCACCAGATTATGAACCTGCAATGCAATGTTATTGACAGTTAAAAAAAATCAGTGAGTAAATGTACTGCCAGTGAAGAGGAACGACCTACAATGCTGGAAAGCGTAGTCTAACTGTCCATAGCAAAAGACCATTCTTACGGCTCCAAACGCATTAAAGTTCTGATCCAGAAGGCATGAAGGGAATTCATTCATTCATTGCACATTCAGACCTTAAGCCATTTTGGAAGTTACATCAGTTTAACTTGTTAGCTTCATCAAGCTAACCCCTCTCCACCAATAAATAAATAAACAAAACTCAGCAATTTAATGGACGTAAGCTATATGGTAATGCAGTGAGTTATACAGTCAACCTTCAGCCATAAGCCACTTAGATTTGAACCAGCAAGAGACAGCTCACTAGAGAGGACACTGAGCATACAGAACAATTTTTGCTTTTCACATCAAACATATGGAGAGTCAGTAACTGAAACACTGTTTCCTCTCCAATGAGCAGCCCAAAGCAGACTTTAATATAAAAACCTATTTACTCAAAGCTAGATGTTGACTTTTTAGTTCTCACTAGCTAAAGGGCATTACAAGCAAAATCAACATTTTGCCTTGATTTTCTCTCCAAAACGCACAGAGTAAGAACTATAATTTAATTTTCATCACTGCATCCTGAACTCTACAGTAAATATACAGCCTCTGTTACAGTGGAGAGAAATACACCTAAATCAGAAAGACAAGGAGATGTTCAGTCCAAGTTTTAGTAAAATTCTTTTTGGGAAACTGAAACATAGGAGACAATAAGCTGAAGAGGGTTCCCTCCAACTCTTTGTTTTTTAAGTATCTGTCTACTAATGAAGACATTTCAAACCATGTAGATATTAAATACCTAGCTATTTCACAAACGTAAGTTAAGATTCCTTTAATAATTTGGGTTCCTGCCATTACAGAGCATATAGAAGCATCAAGAAGAGTTCAGAAAACACATACTTTTCCCCTCAAAATTATAGTAGATGGAAAAATTACCATTTCATTTGTGACAGGAAGTCTTCTACGCAGAAGACAGGTTACTACTTCAACTATGGCATCATGCAGTTTAGGAAACCTCAATAATTCCTAAAAACAAAACAAAAATTTACTGACGACGCTTCCAGAATTTTTTAGGGAAGTGGGAGGAAAAAAAAGCCTGATAATTACAAACATAATTCTAAACCATGCATTTTTACCTGTGTACTGTAATTGCTACAATGTTGGATAATCCTCTGCATTTCTTCATGAACCAGCTCCACACAGCGCAAACTAGGTTCTTCTAAACGTTTGATTTGCCTTTTTACCAGCAATTCAAATGAAACTTCAGGAACAAACAAGGCAGGACGGGGACCCTAGTTCAAAAAGAGGCAAAAAGCTGCTAAACTGTGTATTAAAACAATATGCATTTCTAAGTAGTATCTGATGAAGCCCAGAATAAATCAGGTCACAGTGCTCACACCCAAAAGAACACTCAGAACGGGTCTTAAGAATAAGATATGTTGCAAGAGTATTTAAATATAAAAGCTATATAATATTAAGTTATTACCTTTAAGACGAACTCCGTGTTAAATAATGATTAACCAGCATCCTTATAGAATCTTGAAGATTTCTACCTACTAATGTCACTCAAGGCTTACAACTATGAACAGTTTTTTTTTCACATTTGTGGATCCAAGTTGAAATGAAATTTATTATAAAGGCAAAGACATTATTTTCCTAGCTTTAGAGAGAAAAGTTACCATTCTTTGTTTGACAGTCCAGAGAATACAATTCTTACTGCAAAATAGCTTGGTTTTCTGTTCAGTATAATCATAATACAGTGTCACTGATTTACAGTGTTCAGGATAATTTGATTTATGACCATGCAGATCAAAACTTAGCTATACATGAAACATTTTTTTACCTGAAATTTCCTTTTTCAAAAAACTAAATGAGCTTTATAAACACAAAGATGTGATATGTCACTTAGCAAGACATCTCTCCCATTACTAAATGCTGGTTTACGTTTTACAGTTGCAGAAGGATAAGAGCAGGCACACAGATCATTGCTGCAGAGCACCTCATGCACTCCAAGTTTGAGTAATTATTGACCATGTAGAAACCCAACAGTCTCTCCACATCCAACAGAACACAGTACAAAAAGCAGACCTCTATATTTGACATCCAAAGTCAAGCTTTAAGAATAAAACATTTTATATACTGCAAAATTCAAAAGTGAACTTACTCTATAAATTCTTAGCAATACCAACTCCCATGTTATAAGACACCCAATCTGTCACATAAACACTGAACCACTGAAGAGCTGTGTCCCTGATACAGAATTGAAGTATCTATGTCCTAGCCCATGCATCTCAGACTGAGCCTTCATAACTAACAGAAGTGCTTAATGCAAAAGAAATGCAGAGGCAGTCTTCCATCATCACTTCTGTAATAATAGCAGCTTCAGCATAGGGTTGCCAAAGCTGGGCCTGAGCTTTATTTCAGCCTATAAGTAACAGTAATGAGATGTAAACATTCACCTTGAATTCACTACATAATAGATAACAGCTGTAAGTTTGGATATTTTTTTTCACGTAAAATACCAAAATGCAGAATTCAACCTCTTCATATTAATGCATTCAGCTGAGATCATTAACTCACAGGATTGAAGGAGCATAAATTTGTTGAAACCTCATCTTTGATTCCAACGTATCATAACAAGGCTTAGAAATACAGAAGAACACTCACAGTAGCGTTTCTAATGGCAGTCAGAATATCAATTGTGTTAAGGCCACCCAGCGGGTCAACAGATTCTAAAGTTCTTCCAAAGGTCTCATGAAAAATGTAACAGATTCTGGCTCCACCACATCTGAAAGAATAAAAAAACCAGCTGAAGTAGCAAACAAACAAAAAGCTCTGATTACATTTTTTACAGTTACTTGGATTCAAACATTTTTGAGTATGTTACGCTTCAGTGTAGTACTACTGCCAATGAAAGCCAGCAAGAGCCACTGGGTTGATCTAACTGCTCAGTCAATATTCTGGAAAACGATCTGGTACTTACAGCTCTGAAGTCTCTATGTATTTTGCTGTTCCTTCAATAGTGTTACAATATTCTGTGGCAAATTTGGTAATAAGCTGCAATAAAGTGGCACTTTTGTCCTCAACAGGTTCCCCGTAGCTGTTTAGTAGAGACTGGTACTGAGCAGCTAAGACATTAATTCTGGTTTTCAATTCTGGCAAGCAATCCCTGATATGATGCATCAGTAGTCTAAAAATAGAAAACAGTCCCTCATTAGAAAGGAGGAAAAGTTTCAGTTTTATCATCTCCATCAAAACAGAGAAGAGATAGAAAATAATCACCTAAGGAAAACATTTACTCAGGAAAATTACAGTAAATTCAGCAACTGAATTTGGAACCCAAGCTTTCCTTAATATATCACTGTACAGCACCAGAAGAGAAAGGAAAGTTAAAAACAAATGTATTCTAACACAGCAATTTTTATCTTAAATTATCTTTAAAACCACACATTTTTTTTCTTTTATTTTACATAATATGTACTACCTGTTCAGTGTTCTAGCAAGATATTTGGTTCCATTTCGATTAGCTAGGGAAGGATACTTCTTTTGAAGAAAACCATACTCATCACGAATGGAATCAGCTACACTCTTCTTATTGTTAATATCCAACTGACTCCTGAAGTTAAAAGGCAGAGTTACACACTAGTTAATAAATGAAAAATAGAAAAGTAAAAATAAGTTACACTTCTGTTTTTCTGAACAGGACATCTGAACAGCTGGCTTTTGCTTTACACACATAATTCATCTTCCTTACACAATAAAGAGTTTTATTTGTTGTTCTACACAGCATAGTCAACAAATCAGTATGGGTAGCAGCTGTACACAGACTAAGCAACACTTATCAAAACTGCATGAGATTTCACCTAGCTAATGCAAAAATTAAAGCAAACAGTGCTATAGGCATATGTAGCTAGCACTAGATTAACACTAATATATACAAGATCTGTACTGGATCAACACTAATGTGAACAGCTGACCAGAAGCAGCCCTCAAACTAAAAAACAATAGTAAAAACAAGAGGCGACACTACTGAGAAGAGATGTCCCTACTGCTTTCTAAATTAGCAGTTGGTTGAGCAGAAGAAGGACAGACAGGCTTTTGAAAAGTGAGCAACAAGCTTCTCACTTGGGTATTCAGAAGTTTATTTCAACATCAAATCCCCTTACTATGCCAATAATATTCATGGTTAAGAATTACTTAATATTAATATCATTTTAAGAACAGCATCAATGTGCCCAGACAGACCTGTTCACTACTCCAATGATGCCAAGTTTGACCGGAATTACTCTTCCCATGAGCACATCCATAGCATCAGTACCAGCATCCATGAGATCCAGCTTTGTGATAACAGCAAGAGTTCTTCGACCTACCAAAAGGAAAACTCATTCACAGGGATGTTTTGTCTTGACTATCATAGCTAAAACTGATAATCTAAAAAGTTCTTCGGACAGTTGCATGAAGCTTAATACTGCAGACCAGCAGAGACTAGCGCAAGAACACGTGGTGTTAGACTATCTGGAGCCCCTTACTAACAGGAGTATAAGAAAATATTTGGAAGGTACTACTTCCCACACAGATCTGGTCAAATAAAAAGGTTTAGGCACCATGCAGTTTGAAATTATAGTCATTACTGATAACAACATACATTCTTGCACACTACCTGAGGTTAGAGGTGTTACTAAGCACTTGTGGAGAAGACTAAGTAAGGCAGGCAGGGGACTCGCAGGTGTGAGTGGACTGAACTTATTTCTAGCGTATATGTAGGACCAAAATTAACAGCAATCTGTTTGGAACTATATTTGAAATACCACTCCCCAATGGAGAAGCTGCTAAAGGAGGCAACAGGCCCACTTCCAGCATAGCACATCAAATATATAGCTGAAAGCTCCAAGAGATTGAGTAGTTTGAAATCCATCCACTGAAGAAGCATTAGGGGATTTCATTTTGCTAATGAAACAGATTTTTATTGAATATGTGTCTGCAGGTTTTTTTTAATTAATACTTAACTTCATATTGGACACTCTGGAGAAAAGAGCAACCTAAAGTCATTAACTAGGTAAATATTGCACATCTAAACAGGTAGGCTAACATGCACAGGATTTGTCTGAGACCTTAATATTTCCCAGGCTGTTGGGTCTGAAAAAAAAACATGGCAAGAAATTTTTCTTTAAAATATAACACACCTTTCAAGTCTAAAAATAAACCACTACCTCAGCAAAATACCTCAGCTCCTGAAACTTTCAGATGAATGCAAGTCAGAGTCTACATTCTTTAGTACTTCAGGTGCTCATTACATACCATTATTCCTACAGAACCTGCAACATGAGCTGCTACTCCATCTTTAAGATTTAGAATTTTGGGAAGTGATCCAGAAATCACAGCTGAGCATTTTTATGGGGTGAATGAAAATGAAAGGGTCTGCTGCCTTGAACCAGAACAATCTGACTGAGAAGGCTGCCAGGAGAAGATGATCTCCCTCAAGGTTATGTGGCTGTGGAACCCATAAAGGCTGAGGCAGACAGGCCAAAGCAGACTTTATCTATGTTTAGAGTATACTTTTGCATATTCTTTCAAATCACACAGTGCCATTTATTAGTCAGTGGTACTAAGAGCACTTTCAACACACAAGAAGCAGGTACCCAGTAGCTTCAGATCTGTTTCAAAGTCATTAGGTAAATATAAAATTATAATCCCCTTTTTAGATTAAATCAAATTAGTCAGTTCTGTCACATAAATGCAGGGCACCAAAATGGATACTGACAGTACATACTATTTTTTTTTCTTAGTAGAAGTCCCTAAACTAACAGCTAGACAGTCAATTACTAGCTGCAGGATGGCATATTTTCTCTACTAAAAGAAACAACATTGGACAATAAAGTATGAAGTCACCCTAACAGACCACTGTAAACTACTGAAAATCTCAAACCCCCAACATTCTGTAATGCTATTTTGCTGCTCTGGAAACAGAAGTGGCTCCTGTGACTACAAAAAGAGTTATCTGGCCTGTTTGCCAGCCAGAAATCTATTAGATATTAATTCCTCACAGCATTCTCTGAGTTGCAGAGACTGCAGCAGGAAGTATAATAATTGTATTTTCTAGGAAATGCAGTGACATTTGGGGTTTTTTCAGTTTTATTTTAGGATTTAATTAAAAAAAAGAAGCTGAATTACAGGATCTAGTTTTTCTTGCTGCTTACCATCTGGATCCACCTCCCGTGCAATTTTAAGAGCTTCTGAAGTGGCCATGTCTGTGTTAGCAGCTGTGACTGCCAGAATAATTGAATTTGGGTTGCTGATGAATTGAAGGATTAGCTCTCTTATTTGAAGTTCAATATCCTTAGGCTGATCACCAACAGGCACCTAGAGATAAAACAACACAGAACTGTTCAATATTGTACATTTATGCCTGCGTGAGATCACTCATTGCAAGTTCATACCCTATACCATGGTATAAGATAAAGTTTTCCAGCCCTTTCCTTCCCCATTCACAAACAAACATGAAAGAAAAGGAAGATCTTGAAAGGTATAAAAATCAAAAGCACTCTTATAGAAATAAGAATAAATTCAAATTATTTCATTGGGGTGCATTAGAAGGGGTGTGGTTAGTAGGTCAAGAGAGGTTCTCCTCCCCCTCTACTCTGCCCTGGAGAGGCCGCATCTGGAATATTGTGTCCAGTTCTGGGCCCCACAGTTCAGGAAGGACAGGGAACTCCTTGAGAGAGTCCAGCACAGAGCCACCAAGATGATTAAGGGAGTGGAGCATCTCCCTTATGAGGAAAGGCTGAGGGAGCTGGGTCTCTTTAGCTTGGAGAAGAGACTGAGGGGAGACCTAATTAATGTTTATAAATATGTTAAGGGTGAATGTCAGGAGGATGGAGCCAGACTCTTCTCAGTGATGCCCAATGATAGGACAAGGGGCAATGAGTGTAGCTGGAACACAGGAGGTTCCGCTTAAACTTGAGAAAAAACTACTTTACAGTGAGGGTGACAGAGCCCTGGGACAGGCTGCCCAGGGAGGTTGTGGAGTCTCCTTCTCTGGAGACATTCAAAACCCACCTGGACGCCTTCCTGTGTGATCTCATTTAGGTCCCTGCTCTGGCAGGGGGATTGGACTAGATGATGTTTCAAGGTCCCTTCCAATCCCTAATATTCTGTGATTCTGTGTGATTCTGTTGTCAAGAATACTTGGTATCCAAGAGCCACCTGCACAACTGTCAGAGTGGGATACGTATGTGTGCATAGGCAGGGAAAGAAGTCATCTTGCCATCTTCATGCCACAGAAAATTATTCAGTACAAAACCTGAACAAACAGGACGTGAACATTTCTTCTAGTGTATCCTCACTTCATACAACTTCTTACACAAAATACACATAACTTCTGGAGAAGCAATGGGGAAAACATTGTCAAACTTCTCAACTACCTGTCTATCTGCAGGTACAACTTCAAAACTTCAAGTGCTATCTCTTGAATTAAAAAGAACATGCAGCACACACAATGCTTCCAATCCCTCAGCTGTATATAGAAAGAGGAAGAAACTGAGTAGATCCACCTCTTAGAACAGTGAAGAGCACCATAAACACAAATCTCACACCAGAAGATGGTGACATCTCAAATTTATATAACCAACTAACCTGAGGAAAGCTGTTTATCTAACAATACAGATTAATGCCAAAGAGTGAACATACACTCCTTGTTACAAAACACGCTGTTCACAATGAGTCAGAAGAGAAGCATTCCACATCTTACCTTTGTCATTCCAGGTAAATCCACAAGAGTCAGATTTACGACATTAGATGAAAAAATCTTCAGATGAATAGGTTCAGGACTGATGCCCTAGAAATATATTACTGAAAATTAATCACTGTTCTGGATTATTTAAATGCACTCTTTAGAAAATCAAAAGCTGTAGTTTCATACTAGAAAAAACTTTCTTCCATCATAGACCACAAAACTACTTGGTGAGGAAAAACAGCCAGGCAGCACATCTGTCAACCAATTCCTTTGTCTTTGGAAACAGTCCTTTTTCCCCCCTCAATATAATGCACAAAAGCTTTTATATTTCAGTAACTGTATAGATACGCAAGAATAGAATACTCGTCGTAATTACACATAAAACCATGTATGTGGAAAAATGGAAACAAGTTTAACTCAAAGTTCCTTTTTTCACTACTATTACGGAAGCTTTTAAGTAAAGCAACAGAAATTTTCTGCATTTTCTTTTAGCTGAAGTCATTTATCTCACAAACACAGTGGAAAATAATCTCAAAATAGCAAGCAGTATTACTGTGTTCTTCATTAGAATAGTTCCACGCTTTTCACTTCTAGCTGCCAAAACTGTTTAAGAAAGGTTTAAGCAGCAAAAGAATCTACAGCAAGACAAAAATGGACAGTGCAACATTTACCTTATTATTTCCCGAAATCCTCTCTGTTTCATTTTCTATTTCCTGACGAATTTCGTCAAAATCTGTATAGATCTGAAATATAGAAAAAAAAAAGTAAAAAAAAAAAATTAAGGACAGCATTCACTTGCCTAATTGCAAAATAATGCTCTCTTCTCCAAGAGACAGTGAAAAAGTCTGTAACTAAATGTACAGAAGGTGAGAGCAAATAAGAATGACTATTAGCCCTTAAACTAATGTGAACAGCAGTCATCAGTGCTAAAAATTACATAATTGTAATCTTGGTATTTAATCTGTTGATTAATACTGTGAGATGGCAGTTATTAGCACCCCATCGATGTCAGACAAGGTATAAAATAGTGTTCACCTAAAGAGAAGTCAAACATTTCTAATTCCATTTCTAATCTAGTTGCAATCCTTTGAAGTTAATAAAAAACATGTAATCTGAACCTCTTCTCACCTCAAAGAGGACAAAGAACAAGGACAGAGTTTCATTTCAATTTTTTTCCACTCTTGTCAAATCCATTCTCCCTCCACCAATACAAAGTAACTTTGCACAGAGCTACCCTTGCACAGGTTCCCTCTGCCTTCCTCTCCAATTTCCTTCTAACGCTGATTAGAAGGTAAGGAGTTTAAAGTAATAAACAAATAATTCATCTGCCAACAAAAAGACGACTGTGCATCTTATTGAAGTCCTAGGTCTTCTCAGTTTCTGCTTCTCCCCCGATGAGCATTAGGCTCTTCCTTTATCTTCATGGCTTTCTAATAAATTTTTAAAATAACTGATTCTTCACTGGACTGAAATGACTTGTGATTATATACTTCCCTGTCTTTGCAATTTCCATTCTAATTTCACCAATGCACAAAAAAAAAAAATCAATAAAATAACACAAAAAGGATTAAGATAAATAACTTGGGAGAATCAATGACCCACATGACAGAAAATCATTGATAAACTTTCTGTCTTGAGTTTAAAAGAGTGTTTCCAGAAGTTTTCTACTCATAAAGAGCAAAATCTTCAGTATTCTGGCATATAGTATAGCAGGTAGAACAATCTCCTTTTTGTGAAAGCCAAGGGAAGATCTACAGAATTAAGTACATATATGATAATAAATTTATGACACTGCTACTCCATCAGAGTAAACATACCTTATTTTTGGTGTGAAGAAATTTACCCCACTCTTCAGCATCTATCTCTGAAAACAAACAATTGATACATGAGGAAGAGGAAGCAGATGTTTCAATGACATTTTTCCAAGAACCTCTCTGTTGAAAAGTACAATGTGACTTTTTTTTTCCAAGCAGCACGAGAAAAGTTAGTCTGCTTTCTACTGTTAAATAGTTCAGCAGAAATAACTTTATGATTCTGCTTATTTAAACGTTGCATCTCATTACTGTTTTTAATTTGTCTCTCTTACACAAGGTCTGTCTTCTTAATTGTGACTGACCCAATCAGCTATCCTACCATTTTTCAGAAAATGGTTTAGTCCATTAAATATCAGCTTGCAACAGAAAACAAAAGAATTACTAGCAATAGGTTCAAAATGTGAAAAAAAAACCAATACCAGATCTTAGCATCTTTTCTTTTACAATGCAAGTGAGATTATATTAAAGCTGAAAGAAAAAGTTAGAAAAACCTGTAGAACCAAAACCAAGCAAACAGAAAATACCTAAGCATTCTGCATAACAGCGAAGTCTTAGGAGAATATGTCTCTTCCCAAATCTGTCAAGCACATCTTGACTCTTATCAGTCACCACTAACGTCCAGAATTACCTGGGGGCTATTCAAGGTCAGTTCCAGAAACAGTAAAGGAGGTTTTGTCAATTCCTGCTCCATAGCGCAGGCAGCAGTTTGAGTCATACTGTGAGATACTCACACTTCCACAACCAGATTTCCAAGTATTAGTGACAAGTTCCATTCCTAATTTTTAGTTTGTGGTCATTTCCCCTCTGATCTCCAATATAGCAATCTGCTCTATAAGAATAGTCTACAAGAAATCTGGTGAATACATTGCTTACCTACAATCAAGTCATCTTTCAAAATACTTTTTCCACTCAAGTTGAATTTCAAGATACTGATCAATAGAATTTTTTTTTTTAAAGGATTTGGGAATTAAAAGTGCAGGAAATTCTATGAAGCAGCAACAGCACAGAAGAAAAGCAAAAAATCATATCATTTAATGCAGTAAGGTCAGAAAACTAAAAATAACCAGATCACAAGACTCAGCAAAATAATCAATCAACACAGTAGCCAAAGTGTATAAGTAAAAGGGTAATCAACAATAAAGTGGCATGAAATGTATGTGGTTAGTGTATATAAGCATGCACTTCATGTGTAGGGAGAAAAAGCAAGTGGATAAAGGCAACCTTTAGAAAGGTGTCTTGCATTTTTCCATGTAGCAGGGTCTGCAGTTAAAGAGAAACAGCATTGAATGATGTTTAAAAATTTTAATCATATTTAATATATCATTTTATTAACTTCCTGTACCAGATTGTATTACAAAGATCATAAATGCGTGCAGACAGATGTGCATGCTATTCTACTACTGATAAGCATCTGTAACATTAACAATATGCACAGAAATAAGATATTAACTAAACACTGATAAATTATGCATATTAATCAGATACTCTATAGGACAAAGTTTACTTGATGATGACTATTTTTATCTAAGCACAGAAACAGCACCATTAGGTTCTGCAAAGCTGAACTTCTTTGGCAAAGGATGTTTCTCATCACTTAGTCATGGCAAGAATGAGAAAAAGTAAGGAAACATTTTTTATGTCACTGGCAGTAGTAATACTGCATGGGAAAGAAATCTGAGGTTTCAATCAATCTTTCTAATGCTCAAATAAAAAAAACAATTACAGTAGTTCTGAGACAGATTTAAGAAGAGACAACATTAGCTATCACCATTCTCAACTTTCAATTTTCCCAAAATACTTATGGAAATGCCATTACAAAAAAACCTTTTTATTGAAGGGTTGATGAGTTTACACACTATACTTTTATGTGATGCCAGTACAGCACCATGGAAGTGCAAGAATCAAAACATACTGGTGAAGACATTTTTTGCACATGCCTGTTCGGCACAAAGTGCAAGCAATGCAGCAACAATCAATTAATCAGTTTGGAAAGCCTAGTACCTCTGGGGAGTTATTTTAAAGTCTTGCTCAAGTGGGTCAAATGTTTATTATCAATGGAAATACACTGATTTAGATGGACTGAATCCATCAAGGAAAAAAAAAAATAAAACAAACTACTTTTTTCCTTACTATTCTGCAGGCACATGAGCTCTGAAGAAACCATTGTTAGGAGGCAGCTTTTGTCTTGGTTGGTAAATAGGCAAAATTACGTATTAGTCTCCAAAATAAGTGCAAAATGAAAGGGCTCATTAGTTCCAGGTTATGAAACAGGTTTAGTTTATTCACAGTTCAGAGGAAATAAAGCAAAATGCAAATACAGCAAGAAACTAGCATATCTTCAAGACTGTATCACTCACCCCCTCTTAAAAACTGAATCTGAGGAAATAAAGGCATAAAACCAGCAAGAAAAAGAAACAGCAAGATACTGCCGCCCTTGCATTTGAAAGATATGGACCAAGAACTCTTCTGATATGTCCCTCCTAAGGAGATTATGTCCTCCTAGGACACACTTTTAGTCTTAAATTACTGGTTTTGTGGTGGCATAGGAATTTGCAGCTAGGTACTAGGCTTAGTTCTACATATCAAGAATTGTTTTGTATAATTATTAACTTTTTTTAACACATGTAAGAAAAGATGCATTCTAGTCAGAGGCATTGCATTTTAACTTTATTAACATCTATGGATCAAAGGAAAATATTTTTTAAGCTTTAACGAGCCACAAGTTTCCTTTGCTTTATTTAACACAAGAGAAGATTGAAGCCATGATAAATGGCTCAGTCTTAACCTCAGCCTTGCTGCATATAAAAAAGGAAAAAAAAAGTTAAGGAATAAATGCAGTCTCCTGAGGTATACAGAAAATCTCATCTGGTCAAAGTATAAACTTTTAGAAGTTTCATTTTATACAGCACGAAACTTGTCCCATTCTTCTGAGGAAGTCTGTACTGACACTTCTTTAATATTTAGGAAAAAATTTCCAATAGCTCTAATTTAATGCAAAGGAGTTTATATGAAAGAAGGAAGAATTTGCATTATTCAAAATGCAAGGATGCTCAAGGCAAGGAGAAAATATTTTAATTAGCTGACATTCAACAGCTCAATGTTCTGGTTTACATGTAGAATGTTTTTTTAGCACTAGTTTCACTGGTAAGTCAGTCTTCCCTCGGTTAAGTGACCTTCCAGAAGCTTTTCAGGCAAAACTTTCAAGTGACTTAATCACCTGATTGCATTCAAGATCTGAGTAGATAAAAGTGTGCAGAAATGACATTTCAGTCATTATAAAATTAAGTATTACAGATTTTAAGAAATTGTTCAAACAGCAGCTATTAAGAACAAAGAGATGCTGCCTTTCAAAAACATACCTCCTGAATAAAGCAACAGTCTAGTTGCTTTTCTGGCTTTTCATACCTTGGAGTGAAACCTGAAAACTTTAATCAATATACTGTAAAACTAGAGATGAATACGGTATTTTTCTCAGGACTACCCTCCACCAAGTTGTTACCTGTTATCTCCTATACTGCAATGCTCCTTTAAGAAGCTCAAATACAGTGCAATGCTAACTGACTTCAGTTATTCATGTGTCTCTTCTCCCTTAGAAAAGCAGCAGTTCGAGTCATAAAAGGCTACCACCATAAAGGATTTATTTCTCTCTTCCCCCCACCCCCAACACTTCATCCTTTCCTACCTCTCTTTCTCTAAATTAAAAAAAATAAATAAATAATAATAATTCCAACTTGTGGGAAAAAAAAGTGCACACCTTCCAATCCCTTATCCCTTCTGTATGTTTCCCAGCCTTGGAACTTTCCATCCTTGATGCTAATTAGATGGCAAGCTCTTCTGAGTGAAAGCTCTTTTTCTCTCATTCTTCTACAAAGCTAAGTACAGTGAAGCTGTCCACACTGTTTGGGAGCTAGGGATAAGGGATTCCTGTTTGCAGTCGAGAGGAAAAAGCTGACAAACTGTTGATTCAGCAAGCAAAAAATCTGTATTAATTATTGCTGTGTTCATATCAACTCTATCTGTTCAGAATTTGAACAATGTGCAGCTCCCTATCTTGGGCAGCAAAAAGAACCTGTAAACTTTTACTAATTGACCATTCACGTGTTCCCTCCTCTGTTCCATTTCTTAACAAATGGATAAGCCACCAGAATAGGTCTCAGCTACAAGTCCAATTTAATAATTCACAAGACCAGGCCAGTTCTCTCGTAAACAGTGCTTCTCTTGCAATTTGATAGGAGAACACCACCGTATGGTATCACCACATCAAACATATCATATGTGCTGAATCACTAGAGGCTAACAACAGTCAGCAAAAGCAAAATGAGACCACTTCCTTCACATCAAACCACACACATCTCTGTGGAATATATGTATCAGTCTAAAATATTATGTTATGAAAACACACTTCTTAATACTTAATAGAAAATTCATGTCCCTCCTATTTTCTCACTATCTTGACTTATTGTGGTGACCACCATATAAGGGTATCACACAGCTCATCAGTGACTTTAAAGATCATCTCTGCTGTTCCCCGATGTTAAATGTTAGAACATCACAAGTTCAAATGTCTGGCTACAATTCTCTCTCAACAATCATTCCCAATGTGCTCTTAAGAATCAAATAAAAAAAATAAACAAAACCCACCCCACAAAAAAAAAAAAAAAAAAAAAAAATCAATCAATCAAGCAAACCCCAAAACCAACCAACCAAAACCCCTAAATTCATATGAACTTATATTCTTCGGTAGCTCACATGCATTAGAAGATGTCAAAATTAAGCTATAGGAGAGACACAGTTTTTTCCTTCACAGTCATACAGACAAGGCAGTTGTCCGTGCTTAAACAAATACCAGAGCAATCCAACGTGCTTCGTGTTAAAAACAGGGAAGCTTTCTGGATGCAACCACTCAGAAGTAAAATTCAAGCTTGTAAGAACCACAGACTAGTACTACTTTTACGTGGATGTATTTATATGTAATACTAGTACAGGGAAGCTTTCTGGATGCAACCACTCAGACAGAAGTAAAATTCAAGCCTGTAAGAACCACAGACTAGTACTACTTTTACATGGATGTATTTTTATGCAATACTAGCACATATCTGGATCAAGCATTAACATGGATAAAGGTGACAAATCACAAAACAGAAATCGCAAAACAAAGAGGCAGTTGCATAGAAGGATCTGTGCACACAGAGTTCATTACCAGCACGTTCAGGAAGCAGCATCTCGAGACTGATATTCTCTTACCCAATATTCAGTTTGTAAACAAGAAACCCCTCATCTGGAGAAAATCCTTTTCTGCAAGACTATGCATAGATCTCTCTCTTGGAAATCCCAAACACAAATTCAACCCTACCTCAACATCCACCTCATAACAAACAAAAATATGACCTGTAATAGAATAGTGACTCATTACAGTATCAGACAGCACAGCCAGGATAAGAGGTTGCCATTTTTTATTTTCTTTCCAAGCTACTTGATCCCATCTTCTCAGATGAAATATCACAACCTGTACATACACCAAACCAGATCAGAGACAAAACCATTTAGACCACAATTTGCCTGAATTGTGGAGGAAGAAGAGGGGCATTTCCAACACAATTGGTAAATCCTGAAGGTTTGCCTGTTCTTACCAAACAGACCAATGTCACAAAGGAACATCCAGAAGAGATTATAACATGTACATCTTACATATTGATTTTCCCCCCAAGATCTAAATGGGCCATGTAGCCTAATATCCTTATGCAATAATATAATTTTCCCATTTTAAATCTGAATCCTCAGATCAAATGCAACCTACAACAGAAGGGTTCTGCCTTGACTCAGAATACTCTTAATGATAAAACCATCTTTTATACCTGTAAAGTTGCAAAGCAGAACAAAACCATATTTTATCCTACAAATCAGAATCAAAACATTCTGAAAAGCACTAGAAACTATATGCTGCATAATGCAAGTAACATAAAACCACATTTAAAGAGACCAAATGTGCCATTTCCAAGAGGTTGCTCAGAGACTCTATGAATTCTCCACCCTTGGAGGTTTTCAAGACCCAACTGGAAGAAGTCTTGAGCAACCTGGTCTTGAGTTCAGAGTTGGAGGAGGATCTTGGACTAGAGATCTCCTGAGATCATTTCCAACCTGAACTGTCCTACAATCTCTCACAATCCAGCACACTGGATTGCACACTAGAAGTTCTTAATTGTTATGAACTCTAATTGTGTTCTCTGCTTGCAGCAATAACAAGAATTGAAGCATAAACCTTTTAAATTGCACAAGAATAGTAACTGTTCTTCAGAAATCAAGGGCTATAAATATTACATGAAAACAAACAACCACAAAGAATTTCTGATACCTTGAGTTACTATTACTAGAAATAAGTTAAAAACAAATTTAACACAATGAGAATTAATAATTATAGCCCCAAGTTTATCATGCCATCAAAAGCCCACATACTTTTTACTGTCTACATCAAAATAGCTAAGACTTATCTTACGATCAGAAGGTAGATTTGCCCCTGCTGCTATTTCATAAGATCAAGAGCACGAGTTAGTATAGAATGAGCATTTAAACTCCCAAGGGTCAACTGAGATTACTTTCTTGATCTGCTGAAGGATAGTATACACTACAGAAGACATAGGCTTCAAACTACACAGATTCAAAACATTTAAAGTGTTGCTCTTGATGCACTTGGAATCTCTCAGTGCAGTCAAATAAGGTAGCATCTATAAGCTACAAAACATGCCCATTAAATTGTTTGCATCTACTACAAGTTTGTTTTCATTTCTTCTTCTGCTCTATTCAGAACTTACCTATTTCCTAACCTCCATCTAAAAATCCACACACTCATCCTCTCAAGGAAAAAACTTAAATTTATATAGCAAAAGAGGAGGAGAAGAAAAACACACAAGAAAATCATGTTTTCCACACTCTAGACAATCATTATCATAATGGCAATGCTTCTTTGGCTTGCTTTTCTCCTAAGTGTTTCCTAAGAACAAACAGGAAAGGTTAAAACATTAAAGACATTTTGAATATCCAAAAGATTTTGACTTCTTGACATTTGCTAAATGGACAAAACAGATGTGACAACAGCTGTGTTTTCTTCCAAGCAAGTTTTTTTTAAAAAGCACTCTTGACTTTTAAGATTACAACTGATTTTTCAGTCAAATGAACAAGAAAGATTAAAAGTCTCTTTCCTACTAGGAAAAAACACACTCTTGGATCACACTTACCATTTTCATCTCCAGCTGTTTTCCGACCATCCTCCGGGGAAACATGCACCAACTGAAGAATAAGAGGTCTCCGGGTGACAACTCCAGTACCTCGTGGGAGCAGATCCCTCCCCACAAGACTTTCCAACACAGAACTCTTTCCACTGCTCTGAAAATTAGAATACAGCTACGTCATTGTCTTAAACATCAAAATGCTGTAATATTTTAGTTTTAGCTTGCTTTGATCACTCCTGCAAACAGCGCTCTATTCTGTCCTCTGCCCAAAGGAGCGTCTGACAGACTCACTGCATCTAACACAGCGGTATCACACTGCAGAGACACTAAAGGACACAAGTTTGCTATAAACCAGTAACTGTACAAGCCAGCTTGGGACACTTAAAAGCCATGTAGATAGATGTATTTTCTACCTATTAAGGCTAAATTAAACATGTTAATAGGTTTCAGAAAAATTAATATATTTTTTAACATTTTCTACCCCAAATACTAATCTCTCCAGAAACATCTTAGGAGAAGAAAAAAGTCTTTTTCTTTATAATACTCAGAAGGAAACTCTGTCTTTCACTATGTCATTTTCTAACATCTTGCAGTAACACTTCACTCTGTAGACTAAGGAATTTAACTTTGTGTTAGTGTTAACATGGGCTGGCCCTGTTAATACTAACAGCAGCATTACACAAAAAGATATTAACTATGTACACTTGAGTACATTAAGCTGTTACAATCTTGTATTCCTTTCAGTTTGTTTTGGTTTGGGGTTTTTTTTGTATAATGTATGACAGCTTCTTAAGTGCAGGCATTGTTTTATACTCTAAATATATAAAAAAAAATATTGTTTTATACTCTCTCCCACTCTCTGTATGTGTATATACACATCTGTAAGTATTTACAACTGAATTGACTGCAAACATCTGTATACATAATAAACTGTAAGAAGTTGTGAAATACTCAAAGGCCATGAAATAACAAATTCACTTTGTGAGTCTACATTTAAAATGTTCTCCTGTAGCACTTTTGTATGAAATGCAGAATTGGGCTATGTGGTCCAATAAGCAGCTGTGAACACATAAGAGTGGTTCAAGACTACTACCATGTTAAAACCAACAATAAAAAAAACAGACCTGGATATGTCAACATAACACTTTGAAAGTATGACCAGTAAGATTTTGTCTTTTTATGCAGAATTGGGCTATGTGGTCCAATAAGCAGTTGTGAACACATGGGTTTTAAGAGTGGTTCAAGACTACTACCATATTAAAACCAACAATATGACCTGGATATGTCAACATAACACTTGGAAAGTCTGACAGGTAAGATTTTGTCTTTTTCATAGAACTGTATTAAACTCTTCCAGTTTTCTGCAGCTGGAAACTCAACATGGGCAAGCTATGAGAAAACCTGCCCTGACAATCATTGCCATCAGCTAGGAAGTGTTTCTGTATTAATGCTACTACCAAACAATTCTCTTAAACAAACAAACAACAGATGCTTCTGACAGCTTTAATGTGCATTACTGCTACACATCAATTGAAAGGACATATTCAAGACTTCCAAGTAAATCATAAAATGATTACATAACCTAGCATAACATGAAATAAAAGCAGTGTTGAATATCTTTTCAATATCATACATTTAGTGACATTTTAGGTGACTTTTCTAAAAATGAAAAATAGATCAGCAGAGATCAAGCAACACAGCACTATCAGACAGCACATTTCTCCTAGTGCAGTAAGACAAGACTAGAACATATTACAAGAGAGCATTAGAACCTATTAAAATAGGACTTGTATGCAGAAGCATGAAAGAAATATTAAAATACAAGATCAAACCCCTAGAAAGCTTGAACAACAACAACAAATAAAAGTATTCTTTTCTTCTAACACTTTACTGTATATGTATGCTTTATGGCACAGAAAAGTGCCATTTTATCAAAATGTAATTTGTCTCAATAGATGAATAACAAATGAATGGAGATTGTGTATATCTTTCAAAGTAAATCCAAGTCAAATTTGACAGCAGTGAAGTCAACTGTCTAGAAAGAGTAGGGAGGGTCAGAGGAAACAGAAATATAGCCTTACTAAGATTTTTTGCTTCAAAAGACTCCCCTAGAAAGCAACTAATACTTTTCTTTTTCATCTGACCTTCTCCAATCAACTTTGGGCACATTCCATGCAAGGAGCTTATGACAGGACATTGGACACTGAAGAACAGTCTGGCCAAAGCATGAACTAGCTCTGGAAGCCTCTCTGAGAGGACTCCTGTTGTAGCACACTTCTGAAGAATTATTGATATTACAGAATGTTAAAAAAACTTAAATCTCAGAGTGACAAACAAGAAGCCACTTCTTAACAAACTTCATAATTTAAAACAAGTGGAATGTGTGCTCAAAAAGATATGATAATGGTTCATCAGCTGCATTGCCGGGGGTGGGAGGGCAAACCAAAATCACCCGAGTTTCATTTCTTAAAAATATTTGGAACATGTCTTAAGCAAGATTTCTTATACATGGGTAGTAGGGCTGGAGGTGAGACTTAGATGAAATGGTTTCTCCTGAACATATAATCCAAGTACAGAAGGGATAGTAATAAAGAGCTGAAGTCCTTACTAAGAACCTCATCAAGACAGGAAACCAAAATCTCATGTGACAAGTTGCTGCACACCACTCCTCACTGTCTGTTCTGTCCAAAAGACTGGTATTGCAGGAAGCTGAGATGGACACACACCAAACTATGTATGGAACTAAACCACCATGTCTCACACCACTCCCAGTTATCTTGGGACATAGAAGGAATGATCTGGTTCCTTTGCAAATGTGAAGTGATACATTAGATGAGACACTCCAGTACTCCACACATCAGGAAATCTGTTTCAAATTGCATTACATTCCCTTATTAAAGTAACCTGTTCTTGGAACATAACACAGTATCTAATGACTCACTCCTTAAATCTGGACCCCATACACATCCATTACCAAGGACTGTCTGGCAACACGGTTCAGGAAAGCAGTAAACACAAAGCTGATCGTTTTCGTGCCAGAGTGGGGAAGCGAGGGATGTGGGTCTGTTCAGAATACAAATTCAGTTCAGCCAGTCCTTTATACAACAGATGTAGACAAAGACTAATACTGATGACCAAAGATACCACAGAATTTTTAGGAATTAGTGTGCTGCAGCATCATGCTTGTTTTGTCACCTCATTGGAATGCTCATCACAACTTTAAGCAGGGACTGAAATCCATAAACTCATTTCATGATGGGTCCAGAGAAGCATTAACAAATGCTAACCTTTTGTGGCAGATCAATCAGGTTTTTCTCTGGACCCTAATACCTGATCCTAATTTGAAATATCTATTAGCTGTGGTATCTAGAGGAACTTTATATGGATTGCTCAGAAAAAAAGGGCAAATACAGTAACATCTTGTTGTCTGTTGCTTCTTTAACCGTTGTGTCAAACTTACATTGCTGTGTGTTTAACACTCTGCTCTGTTAACCATCATCAGTCCTACAGATAAGCATCTGAGCTTGATGAATGGTAAAACCATTTTTCCCAGAAGTACTAAAATATGAAGAGATGATGCACAGAGGAGCTTAATTTTTTTTTCAGTACACACTGACCATATATATATATATAATGTACATCTTACCAGCTTTCTCACTGCCTCCTTAACAGTTCTATTTTCATCATTGTCAACATCATCTTCACATTAATCTAAAACAATCAAGGATGAAGGGCAGAACAACAGGGAAACAATTGTGCACTTACTCTCACAAATTAAAAAGCTGAAATCTGTAAGAACCATGATCCACTCCAAAAAACCAGCAGCTCTACTGCTTAACAGTCCTAATGATCTTGCTTCTGCTTCCCTATCCTCCATTTCTTTCCTTGTCCCTGCATATTTCAACTGTGCACACTTTTTCAGTATCAAAAGGCATTTGCTTCCATCCATTACACTAATTCTTATGAGAAAATTTGGTTTGCAATCTGCTGTGTTACTAACCACATTTTTCAGGAATTCAGAAGCAGCAGACAGCAGTGCATGACTTCATAACTGTCCACCTTCATTAACAGCAAGAGATGTTACTTTCAAAAACACTTCTGGGTTGTTGACAAGTCAAATGGAAGAGACTATATTGAAAAGGTTGAAGTAACAAACACGATGAACAACTGTTCGCATTCATCCCAAACATCTACTTCACTGGCTTTCTTATTGTTTTTCCAAGTCCTCATTAGCATTCCTAATTTAAGAAGACTTGCGCCCTACACCAAACAACATGCAAAGATGCCTTCCCCATATCCAAAAGAGAACCCTGACCCAACCCTCTTCCACTATTGACAGTTACGCTCCACTTTGAGCCTCATCTTTAGGTACAAAGGCCTAGATGACCCTGCTGGTAAAGACCAAGGCAAAGAAAGCACCAAGTGCCTCAGCCTTGTCACTGTCACCAAATCACCTGTCACAGTCAGCAGCAAGCCTGTATTTCCCTTGTTTCTTTTTTTCTTCTCTTTTTTCATTGGAACAAGTTGCCCAGGGCAGTGCTGGAGTCCCCATCCCTGGAAGTACTTAAGAGTCGTCTAGACATAGTGCTCAGGGACATGGTTTAGTCAGGGACTTTTCAGTGTGAGGTTAATGATTGGACTTGGTGATCTTAAAGGTTTTCTCCAATCTAGGCAATTCAGTGATTCTTTAACTGCTGATGCAGTGCTGTAAGTTCTTCTTTTTGCCTTTGATGTCCCTTACCAGTATCAACTCTAGTGGAATGCTGGCTTTAATACCATCTCTGCATATGCAGGCAGTATTTCTATATCCTTGAGCGAGCTTGTCCTCACTTCTACCTCCTGCACGAGTTTTCTGGGTTGGCACTCAGTCATGAGTTTGCTCCACACATCTCTCTCTACATGTCTACTCACTTTCCTGAGCATTTGCATGGACTATTGTTCTGGGCTCCAATGAGGTTATCCTTAAAGGCATGCCAAGTCTCTTGAGCTTCACAGTTCCGTAACTCACTGGATTCCACCAATTAGCTCAGTAAATAAGTCAAAGTCTGCTCTTATTCTTACAAAGTCCATGCAGCAAGAAGGCAATAATCACAAGACTCACCTGGAGTTTCACTGATGCACAATAACTGTGACATTTTTTACAGTCATTTG